AACAATATTAGTTCAACATATAATGTGGGAATTTGTCTAACGCAAACAATATTAGTTAAACATATAATGGTGGAATTTGTCTAACGTAAACATTATTAGTTCATCAAATAATGTGGGAATTTGTCTAACGTAAACATTATTAGTTCATCAAATAATGTGGGAATTTGTCTAACGCAAACAATATTAGTTAAACATATAATGGTGGAATTTGTCTAACGTAAACAATGTTAGTTCAACAAATAATGTGGGAATTTGTCTAACGTAAACAATATTAGTTAAACATATAATGGTGGAATTTGTCTAACGTAAACAATATTAGTTCAACAAATAATGTGGGAATTTGTCTAACGTAAACAATGTTAGTTCAACAAATAATGTGGGAATTTGTCTAACGTAAACAATATGTGTTCAAAAAATAACACAGTGAATTCATTTGTTTTTGTTTTTCGCGCAAAGCTGTCCCTAATTTAGAAGTGATAGATTAGAGGGAAGATGCACAGTTGAGGAAAATTAATCCTGAGAAAGGTACCACAATTCCAACTGGAAGAGGCACATGTAAGTGCAGACTGAATGAATGGTTCGAGGGAAGCCAGAGTTCTCCAAAGTAAAAAAACACTGTGTGAAAGAGAAGCACAAACTTAGGTGACAAGACATTCCATTGTTCGTAAATGGAGTGGAGAAGGAGGAGTGTGGCTGAGATGGGAGTAGAAGAACACACTCAGATGTATCAAGTATTGAATGAATGGTTCGAGGGAAGCCAGAGTTCCCCAAAGTAAAAGAACAGTGTGTGAAAGAGAAGCACAAACTTAGGTGACAAGACATTCCATTGTTCGTAAATGAAGTGGAGAAGGAGGAGTGTGGCTGAGATGGGAGTAGAAGAACACACTCAGATGTATCAAGTATTGAATGAATGGTTCGAGGGAAGACAGAGTTCCCCAAAGTAAGAGAACAGTGTGTGAAAGAGAAGCACAAACTTAGGTGACAAGACATTCCACTGTTTGTAAATGAAGTGGAGAAGGAGGGGTGTGGCTGAGATGGGAGTAGAAGAACACACTCAGATGTATCAAGTATTGAATGAATGTGAGAAAAGACTTCAAAGGCTTGCCAAGCTAGTACAGCCGAGCAGCCCCTTGCAGAAGAATGCAGATGTGAAAGAATGAGTACTCTTGAGAATGAGCAAAGAGAAGTTAATCACATTTGTAATAATGGAACCTCAGCCTCAATCCACAAACAAGGCAGGCGAATACCCCATGGCTGGATAAAGACATATGGGGCAGATGCAATGCCAAAAAGAAGAGCACAGAACTGAAAGACCCGATCCCAATGGATGAAACAAAGAAAATGTTTGGAGGATGAGACAATTGGAATGTTTAAAAAGGTGTCTAAGATGTCGACCATGATCATCCACAGTCCGAGTGAAAAGAACCACTAGAGAGAAAAGAAATCCTCCAGAGAGAACCAAGAGATGATAAGAAAGCAGTTGAGAGATGGCAGATCGATAATCAGGCATCAGTCTTTTTGGGGACCACAAAAAGATGAGAATAATAACCATGTAAATACCCTCTAAATGGTATTCTTGGCCATGAGACCGGAGACCACATCATCGAGACACTGAAGATAAAGGGAAATGGAGGGAGGAAGAAATGAAAAGCGGAGAATGTGAAGAGAACTTAAAGAAACCACCCATCGGAAAAATGGAGACCAAAGGCTGGCAAAGAGAGACATGTGGGATCACATTAAACCAAATCCAACAGGGTAGTCACCAGTGGCAACTCTGACATTAGGAAGTGGAAGAAGTTCAGGAAGCTGTAATGAAAAGGGGGAAACGTGGATTCAGTAGGCTTAAAAAAAGGAACAGATTGGTGAGGTTGAGGAAAACAAGAAACCATAGTAAACAATACGAATTAGCCGGATGGAATTTAAACAAGTGACGAGTAAACAGCTTTGTACACGTAATTGTGTGTCTAGACATACATGTACACTACAGATGGAGCATTACTGAAGTAATAGAAACCAATGGAATTTAAACAAGTGACGAGTAAACAGCTCTGTACACGTAATTGTGTGTCTAGACATACATGTACACTACAGATGGAGCATTACTGAAGTAATAGAAACCAATGGAATTTAAAAAGACACACAATTACGTGTACAGAGCTGTTTACTCGTCACTTGTTTTATCTGTGAGTCAGAAAACGGCAACTGAGCTGCTCCTGCAGCAGTTAATGGGTTAACCATAAACAGTCTGCAAGATCCAAACAAAACTAGGGACTGTCGTGCAACAACCAGGATTTCATTGTGCATTTTCTTTATGGATGTGTAATGGTAGAAAAAGAATGTGGTGGTTGTTTTTGTTGACTGGTTGTCTCATTTGAACAATTATATCTGAATATTAATCAGATATGTGTTATGACTTTCTAATAAGCTGCCTCAATGTGACTGTTCCTGTTTATGCAATAAGAAATGACTATGTAAAATATAGATGTTAGTGAAAGAAATCTGATGTCATACATCTGGTCGTTTTGTTACCTTCATAAGGATATATAAAAGTAGAGTAAATATTAGAGGCTTGGTGATGTAGACAGTACTCCTGCTGAGAGCACTTACAATATTAAAATAACCAGCAATCCAAGACAAAAAAAAACATTGTGGGGGTTTGTCAACACAAAACATAGTTTCAACTATTTTAGTTAGGGTATCTAGTCACAGAGGAACATTGTGGGGGTTTGTCAACATAAAACATAGTTTCAACTATTTTAGTTAGGGTATCTAGTCACAAAAAAACATTGTGGGGGTTTGTCAACACAAAACACAGTTTCAACTATTTTAGTTAGGGTATCTAGTCACAGAGGAACATTGTGGGGGTTTGTCAACATAAAACACAGTTTCAACTATTTTAGTTAGGGTATCTAGTCACAGAGGAACATTGTGGGGGTTTGTCAACATAAAACACAGTTTCAACTATTTTAGTTAGGGTGTCTAGTCACAAAGGAACATCTGTAGTGTACATGTATGTTTGGTAATTATCGTCATTCGCATAGAGTTATAGTTATATATGTGCGACTGATGGATCCTTCAGTCGTTCGCAGCTGAACCATCGAACTTTAATGATGAAAATATCCATTGTCCACAGTTAATCGGTTAATAAATGGTTCTGAAGATGGGGTTACCAGATGTAACATCCATAGCTACTGCATCTGGTTCTATCTTGAGGTATACACCGATTAGTAGCATCTGTAGCTAGCTCCATCTTGTAAGACAACCTGATGTATGCACCCATTAGTACAATCTGTAGTTGATTCTTCTTGTAAGACAACTTGATGTATGTACCCATTAGTACCATTTGTAGCTGAGTCTTCCTGTAAGACATCGTGATGTATGCACCCATTAGTACCATTTGTAGCTGAGTCTTCCTGTAAGACATCATGATGTATGCACCCATTAGTACCATCTGTAGTTGATTCTTTTAAGACAAATTGATGTATGCACCCATTAGTACCATTTGTAGTTGATTCTTCTAAGACATCTTGATGCATGCACCCATTAGTACCATTTGTAGTTGATTCTTCTAAGACAACTTGATGTATGCACCCATTAGTACCATCTGTAGTTGATTCTTCTAAGACATCTTGATGTATGCACCCATTAGTATCATCTGTAGTTGATTCTTCTAAGACATCTTGATGTATGCACCCATTAGTACCATCTGTAGTTGATTCTTCTAAGACATCTTGATGTATGCACCCATTAGTATCATCTGTAGTTGATTCTTCTAAGACATCATGATGTATGCACCCATTAGTACCATTTGTAGTTGATTCTTCTAAGACATCATGATGTATGCACCCATTAGTACCATCTGTAGTTGATTCTTTTAAGACAACTTGATGTATGCACCCATTAGTACCATCTGTAGTTGATTCTTCTACGACACCTTGATGTATGCACCTATTAGTACCATCTGTAGTTGATCCGTCTAAGAGATCTTGATGTATGCACCCATTAGTACCATCTGTAGTTGATTCTTCTTCCACAACATTCTGATGAGTAGGTACTAACCTACTGTCAGTTGGATATACTAGAAAAGATTCAATTCCATTGTTGGACACTGTTGGTCCAGAAATTCTGTATACCTGAAAACAGTTCAGAGAAATTATCTTGCCAAATAATAACCTATAATGACAACCCATATACACTGATGGTTATTAATAACCTGTAATGATAACCCCTGCACACTGATGGTTATTAATACCCTATAATGATAACCCCTGTACACTGGTGGTTATTAATAACCTATAATGATAACCCATGGACTCTGACAGTTAATAACCCAGAGTAACTAGTAGCCTCAACAGTTACTTATTCCTACCTCACAAAGAGACTGGACTGCTTCTTCAAGCAACTAGTGACTTAAATAGTTACTTGTTCCTACCTCACAAAGAGACTGGACTACTTCAAGCAACTAGTGACTCAATAGTTACTTGTTCCTACCTCACAAAGAGACTGGACTGCTTCTTCAAGCAACTAGTGACTCCAATAGTTACTTGTTCCTACCTCACAAAGAGATTGGATTGCTTCTTCAAGCAACTAATGACTCCAATAGTTACTTGTTCCTACCTCACAAAGAAACTGGATTGCTTCTTCAAGCAACTAGTGACTCAAATAGTTACTTGTTCCTACCTCACAAAAAGACTGGACTACTTCAAGAAATTAGTGACTCAGATAGTTACTTGTTCCTATCTTACAAAGACACTGGACTGCTTCTTCAAGCAACTAGTGACTCCAATAGTTACTTGTTCCTACCTCACAAAGAGAAATTCAACTGCTTCTTCAAGCAACTAGTGACTCCAATAGTTACTTGTTCCTACCTCACAAAGAGAATGGACTGCTTCTTCAAGCAACTAGTGACTCCAATAGTTACTTGTTCCTACCTCACAAAGAGAAATGGACTGCTTCTTCAAGCAACTAGTGACTCCAATAGT